GGCACCAAATCGGACACTATAAAGCACAAAGATTATTTTTATGATATACACACGAAAGGCAAAACCTGTGGGAGGAAAAAAGGTACAGATCAACAGTCAATTCAAAAAAAAAGAAAAGAAAAAAAGAAAATCCTCGGAGATTATTTAGTTAACTTACAACTAACTGCCACAGATCCCGTGTTTTTCCCAGTTGTTTTTTTCTTCTGAAGACAATAAATGCCAATATGCTTATAAATAAAAGGAAAATACATTAGTGAAAACCACAAGGTATATTTTTGGTTCACCTGAACTCACATCTATTAAACCGGTTTTGGAATAGCAGGGTATTGAACGCATGTATATCATCATTTGCAATTTTTCTTAAGCAAAACAAAACTAAACACAAGAAAAGCACCATCTGCCATTGCTTTCACTGATGCCCAGCCACTAAGCTGGGTCAAGTTCTCTGAATTCAGAGGGCTGAAGATGTACTTTCATCCTCCTCCCAGCTCAGCCTCGGTGCTAACACAAATAAGGCAGGGTTGCCCTTATTCTTCCTCTGCCCTTTTAAAGATAAGGAAATCTTTAGTACAACTGCAAATTCAAAATAGTTTGTATCATTGTTCTTTCACAGGACTCTTCAAGTAAGAGGTAGAAGATATAAGCTTGGTAGTAATATGACTGTCTTCCAAGACAAAAGTTGCCAAAAACCACACAACAGCATGTTTTACTCTAAAAGCTTTTTAACTAATATTTCTTTCCTCCAGCTGTGTTCTGAAACTGACAGCGCCCATTTTTCCCTGCACAAATCTCATGGCATTTTTTTTGTAGATCATTAATCCTGTAAACATTTTCATAAACAGTCAGAAATCATCAATGTAAAAATGAAATTAATTTGACATATTACAAATAAAATTTAGCTAACAGAAAAATCTTCCAACTGCTTTTTATTACAAAAAGCATGAAAAGGTGACAAACCCATCAAAAGCAGTGGTTGCAGTTCTGGGGAGGAAGGGAACAGATGACATTGGTGTAGTGGGTGGTTCCAGTCAGGGGCAAAAAATGAGATGCAAGAGAAATTTAACAGTATTGCTGGATATTTTTCATGTATGACATGAAGAAAGAAAGAAAAAAAAAAAAAAAAAAAAAAAAAAAAAGCATAGCAACAAGTTTCCCTGTTATCTTAAAACAATTTGGTTTCACAACATCCAAAGCCATACCTCTGTATAGAGCACACAAGAAACGTGTAATAGCAATCTATTTTTAAGGTTTCTGCCAGATGGGTAAACACCTCAAACACACCCACAAATACTAAGGAAAACCACCTTGGCCTCCCTCAGGAAGTCATTCAACACTTCACAGAAAAAAATAGGAAGTTGTTGATAAACTGCTTGCAAGAACTACTTCCTGTAGGAAAAATAATTACAAGACTTGTTTGCTGGATGATCAGTAACTTTTCCTCACGCTGCAAAATGAGAAGAGGTATTACACAAGCTCTGTAAGAATTAAAAGCTAAACACGAAGTTAAACCAATACAAGAGTAATTCTAAAACTGAACAAAACTTATTTGTTCTTTCTGCAAGTTGTTGCCTGCTACTCCCATGGCATATTATCTTTTGCCTAGAGAGCGATCCTCTATCTTTCTCCATAGTTCACCGAAATGTCAACCAGCAGCTGGCTAACAGGAAGTGGTTAAAAAGCAATGCAGTTGACATCGCCACACAAACCAAGTGAGTCTTCTTTACTGCATGTTTAAGAATGGGCTAAAGCATACCGCACAGCAATGCTGAGATGACTCAGACATGACCACTTACTAACCAGGCAAGTCTTGACTTATGAGTTCTATTTAAGTAGCAGTTTCAGTAAAAAATAGTATTAGCCTTACCGGCTGTATAGCAAGCATGTCTTTACTCACTGGCCAAAATCATCTGCATTTTCGCTAACGGAAAATTATACTCAGGAGTCCTACTCATAACAGTGAGATGAACACTAATGAGTGGAATTCTGGCAAATCATATGTTGGGCATTCATACATAAAGGGGTCTATTTATCTAGATGACAGACTGATTTACAAAAGCGGTTCTGGTTTAGACCATACATTATCACTCTCACCCTCTTTCAATACTTATGTGCATGTGTGGTGCATATATAAAGTATCTAGCCAAGTAACTCTCTGCATATATCTATATATACAGACAAGTATTTTCTCCCCCATACACACTATTTTTATGTTTTTGCACAAACTACTATGCTTGCAGTGCTTGACCCACTGATTAGTGGAAGTGACTATATTCCAGACTGTATTAAGTACCGTACTCAATTTTATATTATTCTGTTTGCACTGTAGTATATTATGATAACTATAACCATAAGGCCTACTGACATCTGGAAAAAATCGAATACTGTTACCTATTCTACAAAGATCTTTCTAGAGCCTGATTACCAGACTGTTCATGGAGCGGCTACAGAACAGGGCAAATGGAAACAAAGAGCAATGCAGCCAATCCAACAAAGAAGCTGAATTCTTGGAAAGCACACCAAAAATCTGCATATGATGGAAGGAATCACATTAAATGTATTTAGCATAAGGAATCTTAGTACTCATGCTTTGAGCAAATGTTTAAGGTGTAACTAGACAAGATATGAGTTTTAATGGGCTTGTGGGTATGAGATAGAACTTATCACTCAACACTGAAAAAAAGCTTCTGAAGTCCAAACTTGCTATTCCAAAGTAATTCTTACTTTATTTCCTGAACATACAAAGCAAACGTTTCGCTAGTACTTTAAATGTTTTTTACAAATCTTCATGAACTCCAATGAAGCTGGTGCATCTCACCTGTAGATAGCATTAACCTTTCAGGAGCAACAAATGTTCTTCAAGCGTGAACAGAGCCCTCAGAACTGTCTTCATTAGACTCTCCCATACCACAGCATCACCCAAGGAAAGCCAAAAGAAAACAGCCCATTAAGCTGTTTAAAATCTCCCAAGGTCAGCATGTGACCCAGCAGGGAGAGGTTCAAAAAGTACAGCCTTTATTTTTCTTCCTAACAACCTGGTTTGTTTCCACTCCTTTCCCCTTCAAGACACATCCTTCACAGCTAGCAGCTCTTTCAATCATTTACTTTGGATGTCTGCTGGAGAACAAACGATCTTGCTCATGCAGATGAGTTTGCCAGACTTGTGTGTACTTTCCAGTCTCAGGCTCTTTATTGTTCTTGCTGAAACCTGACCCTTTGAAATGGATACCAGGACACCAAGAAAGGACAAAAAAGACTTGCAGAAAAAAAGGAAAAGATTCTTTGCGGTAATAATGAAACTGCAGAAAAGCTTTCCAAGAACAAGTCTTTCACTCTGATTTCACCTGAATGAGCACAATTTAAAAATCTATTATAAGAGCATGAAGACATTTCGCATTTCTTAAACTCTTTTCTGTAAAATTGACGGTGTTATCAAAACCAAACACTTGTGACAGTAAAACTTAAAAATCAAGTATCTATTTTTCACATTTCATAAGCTGCTCTTAAAGAGCACTCACCAGCATAGTCAAAACAAAGTTTGCTTTTCATTTCAAAACTCAGTCCGTGCTTTCCTCAAGGTCCAATGAGCTACAGTTCTCAAGTGGCACAAACTCATGCAGTTCAAAAAAAATTCTATTTGCACCCACTGAAGAGCTCACATCTAGAACATGCTGATTTGTTAAACTTCACTGAAGAACATACCACATCTTCAAGCTCTATAGCTAATGCTCATTTCCACATTCCTAATACAGAATGATTGTTTTCAAAAAGTAACCTTCAGGCTCAAATAATGTCAGACAACTGCAGTAACCTCTGTTCCGTTAAAAAAAGCGATGCTAATTTCTCTGTATGGAAAAAACCATTGCTACAGGAACAAGAAACAGTTTTAAGTAGTTCTGCAAGTTCCATTTTCATTGCAGACAATGTGAATTTGTTTTTGAAACTACAAACTCAACTGCTTCAATCAAATGCACATATTAATGACAATGTTTTAGCAAGAAATGTAGTAATAAAGATGTTTTTCTTGGCTGAAACAAGTTTTACACAAATAACACAGTGTGCTGCCCCTCCCCTCTCCTGGCCCTGAAAATGACATATAATGGGTTACTTAGAGACTTGCAGTTAAATAAAATGTTCAAAATATAGTCAAAATATTTGAGGGCCAATTATGTGTCTTGGTGGGTACACTTTCAGAAAGAAGGACAAGCTCCTGCTGTTTTAGAAAACTACACAGCGTAGAAGAAAATGCTCCCTGATGGATTAGGTGTCAGATGGCTGGCATGTGAAACCTCTCTTCAGTTATAGAAAAGGTGGTAACTAATTTCACTGAAAAAGCTACAGTGATAGTAACAAGAAACAATGTTAGAAGAAGTTCTGCAATTTCTTTCACTGCAGGGAATGTAGATGAGCTGAGTCAAAGACCCAAATACTGCAATCACACACATATATTCATTTCCTCATGAGTAGAGAGTAGGCAAAAATGTTTTGATTGCATACTTACACAATTGTCCTTATTCAGAAAATAAGAAGTCCTGATATATTCTCGCTACAATACTTTCTACAGTTACTCTGTATTTTTACAGCTGTATCATAAAAATCAGGTAAAATGTATTTTGACCTGCATGAGAACTTTGGCAAGATTCAGCAAATCCAAAAGTCACATTGTTTCAAAATCACTATGCACATTTCACTGATTTTCAGTATACAATGTCATGAACAACATTCTTTAGCCAAGAGTAAGATATCACAAATATTCACAGAGTACCATACAGTTTTCAGAAACAGCAGAGTTGATACGGGAGAACTACTGAAGCGGTAGGATCTCCTACTTAAAATCTGGAGCGTGTTTTTAAAAATATGTATTTTAAACACAATGAAATTTGTTAAAATTCAAAGACTGTAAAATTAAAAAAAAAAACAAAAAAAAAACACAAAACACCAACATCAAAACACCAACAAAAAACCACTAGAGATACAACTAACTGAAAATAAGTTCTACTTACTTAAGAAAGTATCTCTGTCCAGATGGTGTTTTAGCCATCTCCCAACCTGGTGGCAAAGGTACATCATCAGGGATCTCAAACGAAGACTGGCGGAGATGTTGAGAAGATGGAGCTCCAGGTCCAGTCACTACTCCAGAGGGTGTAAGCGTCCCTGGAGAAACAGCTCCCAGCTGCAGTGATGCTGGAGAGGAATGAGCTCGGACATGCTGAGGGGTCAGGGCGCCTGCTGTCCCTGCATCAGTGCTGGCCTGCCAGGAGTGAAATTATTTCCATTAAGATTCTTATATTTCAGCAGAAAGGCAGCTGTCAGAAGACATTCCACTTTAAATGAATCTTCCAGAAGAAATTCATAAGTTAGTCATTCTAAAGTTCTGCTTATTTTCTAGTTGTTACTGCTCAAGAGAGCCTCCAAGTCGGTTGGTTTAATTAGCACCACAAAAGCCCTTGTGTAAGTCAAGAAATATTAACTGTAAGTATGTGCTAAGTGCCTTTAGTTTTATTTTGAAAAGTAAAGTTCTGACTCCTTGGTGCAGGGTTAAGAAAAAAAACACGCCCGCAGTCAGCAGACCCATACAACATACTGCATGGTTCATTACTGGACTGCGCCCACCCATTACCATCGCACCCACTTTCTGCCAGAGGGTTAATTTCCCACTTTCCTTTTGAAGTGGGGGTGTGGAGGCGCAAGGACACCCACACATGCACCCTCTGCAGAGGTTTAAGTGATTACACAAGGAAAAAAGTAACAAAGAAATGCCACTGGCAGCAGCAGTGAGTTCCAACGGAGGAAGACTCCTGAACTCAACCATAAGAAAAACCTATACAAGATTGAACACAGAATTTCCTAACCTGCCCTTTAAGGCTATCGGAAGCTTATAGGCA